TATGCTCCTATCCCCAGCACAGCGAGCAGTGAAGCTGGGCGGAGCTTAGCGATACCGCCGCAACAGTTCGGGGTTCTGGGTCTGGCGCGGGGTGGGGGAGCCGAGCCGAGTGGACGCGACGTAGCAACGGCGGGGAGCTGGCGAAGCGGGAGACGCTGCCGCATCAAACAAATGTGCTGCTTTTAAACTACAAAGTACTGTTTTGAAAAATGGTGGTTAAGTCCTGTGTATTGAGGTCATGTCCAAACCACGAAGTAGATGTTGGCGGCGGTGTGAAAAGCTTCGGGTAAGTGTAGTTAGCAATGTGAGGGACGAGACCGTCACCATAACCTAACTTGTCAGTCACCTGGGTGTATTTTTATTTAGTAAAAACACTGTGAAACTAATGTTAAGTCATGTTTTCCAAAGGTTTCCAGCGGCTCTATCAGAGAGAAGGAATCAGTGGCAGGAATTTGTTAACAAGTATAACCGAACACTAGCATTTGCAGCTGGTGCCAAATCCAAGGCATGTTTGTGCAAGGATCATTTCGCTCCAGAATCTTTTACTCGGCAAGGGAATTTGAAGAGAAATGCGATTCCCACAATCCCACCGCCTGAGTGAGTAGCACATTTTAATAAATAGCTGTTACCTTATCAGTGTTGTGAATCTTGTGTAATTTTGTTTCGTTGCACTCAGGTTTACTGGTGCTCTGGCCTATAAGTATGGTTTGATACCAAACGAGTGGTCTCCTTTACTTTCTGCTGTGAATGACTTTGAGAAGAGTTTCTCTGCGTTTGTTGCTACTGTTGAGGAGGACCCACTTGAGCTAGATTGTGATACAAATGATTGTGAAATGCGGGAAGAACAACCGTCTGCTGTTCAGGAACCTTGCCCCAATCGTAGTCCATGCTACACTCAAGCAGAAATAGTGCGTATGCCAGTAGTGATTGACTTGCCAATAGAACCCGTTCGGGCTGAGAGTCCAACCTCTGAGACCACCGAGGTTATGTCAGATCGCTTGTCAGTGATTTATGAAGAGACATCTGACAATGAGAATTTGGCTCCCAGGTAATGTTGCATATATTTATAATTAACTGCATGTAATCTTAAAGTAAATTTTAAGTTGTACATGCTCATCAGTTTTGGAATGTTTTTCCTGTAGATCTAACAGTCAGCAAGCCGCAGTTAAAGCGAAGCCAGGTTCTTTTGATAGTACAACTGCTAATTATCCAAGGTAAGGTTCGATTGGATGTGGGTTTGTGCATTTCTCAGTTCAGTTCTAATTATATCTGTCGTATACACTGACCTTCATTCTTTCTATGTGCTTTTTATCAACAGTGGTAGTGAGCAAGGTTCTCCACTAAGCAAACCAGTTAAAAGAGCAACCCCACAGAAACGCCACTTTGGAGAACTGACTGAGGAAGACATGATCTCTCCAAAGAGGGGAAGGTTTTCCTATGATTTAACTAAAGAAACAGTGGATGGTTACCGGCTAAAAATTAAGACCCTCAATCAAAAATTAAGGAGAGCACAGAAGAAAATTAATACCTTACAGGCTCTCCTAACCCACTTGGAAAATGACAGATATATTGACAGAGATGTGGCATCACTTATCAAGGTACAGTAGTGAGTGGAGTTGTAATACTCATATGTGCATCAAAATAAGTTGTTCCACTATGTTGTCCTGTACCAAAGAGGATATCCCACTGTGATCTTGGCCCTGTGCATTAAGTGCTGGCTTAAACAGTTCTAGTCACTGTTAAAACTGTTTCTGTAATTCATATGCTGTGATATTTTAATAGTAGTTGACTCATCTGTCAAACAGATGTTGTCAAACAGTGCAATATTTTACATACTAATATATTTGAAACATTCCCTGAATGTTGTTTGTTGTTTATTTATTTTCATTTTTAAAAATAATTTATTGAGATTTATTTTTGATTTTCTTTTTTTGAGAAATGAGGACTTTTCACTAGTGGAGACACTGTTTCTCAACAGTATAATTTTTTTACTCTTTGCATTTTTCTTCCAAGTGACTAAGAAATTAGCTGCACGCACAGATAAGGTTAAAGATTTAGTGGTGATAAACTCGAGCCTTCTGTGCAAAATAAATTACGAAATGCAATGCTGTTATTTTGATAAGTAATCTGACCTGTTTCATCACACCCTCAACAGAATTCATTCCAAGGCCCCGCAAGAGATTTGTTGGACAGGATGATCTTTGCTACAGAGAAACAACCATACAGTCAAGAGCTCACAAGATTTGCTCTAACATTGAACTTCCATTCTCCTGCTGCATATGAGTATGTTAGGTCTACATTCATGAAGTGCCTGCCACATCCAAAAACCATTAGTAAATTGTATGAAGTTATCAATGGTGAACCTGGTTTTAATAAGGAGGCCTTAGACGCTATTAAAATAGCAGTGGATGAGGCAAAAGCTAGTGGGAAAAAGGAGCTGGTCTGCGCACTAATGTGTGATGAGATGGCCATTCGTAAGCAGGCGCAGTGGACAGGACAGAATGTAGTAGGTTGGAGTACCTGTACTAAAGGTCCTTTAAAAGACAATGCACCCCTTGCAAAGGAGGCTTGGGTATTTATGGTTGTTGCCATTAATGGCAGTTGGAAAATGCCAGTGGGTTATTTTTTTATGAATTCCATGGGTGGTGTAGCCCGTAGTAATATTCTTAAGCAGTGTCTTCAACATTTAAATGAAACAGGTGTTACTATTGCTTCACTTACTTTTGATGGGAATGCAGCCAACATGACCATGACCGAATGTCTTGGTGCAAACTTGGAGCCTCTTAATGACAACTGGCAACCATGGTTCAAACATCCATGTACTGATGCCAAGGTTTTTATTGTGCTGGATGCAGCGCATATGATAAAGTTGTGGAGAAATATTTTAGGTAATGATAATGTAAAATTGTTTGACAGTAATAATAGAGAAATTAAGTGGGAATTCCTTGTCAGATTACACGAGTTTCAGGATAGAGAGGGTTTGCTGGCTGGAACCAAAGTACGTAAGAGGCACATTAACTTCCAAACTAATAAAATGAAAGTACGTTTAGCAGCACAATTGTTAAGTTTAAGTACTTCTGATGCTTTAATATATTTGTCCAAAAAGCAAGTACCTGGTTTTTCAGGTTGTGAAGCAACATCTGATTACATAAG